GCGCCTCCTCCGCGGCTTGAAGGCCGCCTTGGGGTCCTCCGATACGGCTGACGCCACGGATGCAACATCACGAAGAGCTCCAGGTCTTTCAATGATCTCGTTGATTTCCTCTTGCACCCAGCTGACTACAAAGTAGATCTTCATTTCCTCTCCCGGTAGCGATTCATTGGCATAGGCCAGCGCCTTTTTGATGACGCTCAACTTGATGTAGGCCGGAAGATCTGCTTCGACTGAGAGGACAAACTGGGCGGGATATTGTGACGACCTTCGAAACTGCAACAACGTGTTGATGTTCTTCTTGTCTCCGTTGGTTACCGAGTCGATTCGGATCTGGCAGACGTCTGGTGAGATTTGTGAGTATTTGTCGCCAAAGCTTGCCTCCAGCGTCGCCATCTCCTCTCCCCAGCACTCTTCCGGGCTGCGCCAAAAGTCGTCGCTGTCAGATTGCTGAGCAACCCCGCCGCCGCTCGCAAGGAGAAGCTTCTGCAGAGCCTCTGCAGCCTTTCCTTCGTCGCCGTGGTTAGCAGAGAGGATTTTGCGACAGAGATCAACCGAGTACCCCGACACCGACAACCGCTTGATCATGGCTTCCTTTCGCAAATCACTCGCGACTACGGTGACACCAGCAGTGTATCGCTCTGGCAGAGCCCACCGCGGCAGATCATCTTCAGGAATGTGAACAAGCAGCCACTCCAAGGACTCCTCACGATCCTTGCACTCCTCGACAGCCTCCTCCACGTGGCTCTGTCGGAAGCCCAAGCCCTTGAACTCCTGGACGATCGCCTTCTTCTGTGCGGGCGTTATGACGACGCCGTGTGGATTCCATACCGTCTCTCTCCGGAGGAGATCCTCGAGCTGGGTTCTCGTCTTGTTGCCCATCTCAATCTTCGGCACGGTAGTCCACCCTCTCATGATATTGTGTGTACCGCCAGCCCCAGAGGAAGCACCCCTGAGAACCAGGAGGGGGTCATTTGCGGCCTTCTCCTTGGCCGCTTGTATCTGCTGCCTCTTCTTCTCGGCGGCAGCCTTGGCCTCCTCGCGCTCCCTCAGCGCCTGGAAAGGATCAGCCTCGTACATCCACGCCTTGCCCTCCTTGACGTCCTCCTTCTTCAGGGCCTCAAACTCCTTCCAAAGGGACTTGTAGTCAGGCGGCAACATCATGTGCAGATTCTTCATGCTGCAGACGCGATAAAGAGCATAGGTGGCCGCAAAGTGCTTGGCCTCCAGGGCGGTGGGCTTGTAGGCGAGATGCACATGGCTGGGAGGGAGCTTGAAGGGCGGGAGCTTGGTGACCTCTCCCGTCTTCGGGTTCTTTGCGCTCAGGCTCACAAAGACGGAGAAACCGTCCTTGGTCTTGATGGTGTTGAAGTCGGGGCGGTCCCATTTCATCTTTTGGCAGTGCTCCGAGAGAAGGTTGACGGGGAGCTTTCCAGTCCATGAAGCGCCGCCGATGATCTGCTTGACAGTGGGCTTTGGCGGACCGGCGGGCTCTTCGGCGGGCCCCCCCGGCCTGCTATTTGAACCGGAGCCGGATGCGCCGCCGCGCCTGTTCCTGGGGTCCTTGTCGGAATTTGTGAAGACGATGAAGTCATCCTCTGCTGGGGCCTTTTTGGTATCCTTTTTGGATTTACCGGCGGCGGGGGCAGGGGTAGGCGCAGGGGCCGGGGCGCTCGCTTTCTTTTTGCCCATCTTTTTCTTTAATCAGCTTTTCCTGGAATAATCTGTGTCGCTGAGCTCAGGTTGTAACGGTGGTCCCCCAAGTCAAATGTGTACTTGCAACGCCATCCATGGCAGCAGGATATTGAAGCAATGCGACAGTGGAGCAGAAAGGTTGAAATGCGGTTGCAAACCAAGGCGATGGCAAAGGTGGGACTTTGGGAGCCTCTTGGCAGCAGTCAAAAAAAGCTTCGCCAGGTGCCTGGCAAGGCGATGAACTCGCTTACTTGAATAGCGTCTTATCAAAAGCGATAACGTTATGCATTTACAGGGATCACTCTCTTCAGCCCACGGCGCGTCTCCTCAACGCGACTCGTCCGGCAACTCTATATTTTTGGGGTGAGCGTTCAAAGTGACGCTGGCATTGTCGGCCAAGTTGCAGCAATTAAGTGTCCGTGTGTCTAGACCCACAACAATTCATCCGGTTCGATGTCCCATCGTAACGATTGTGGTTCACCGGCCAGACATCGGTGTAAATTGGTGGGGACGGGGAACTAGTCTGCCATGAACAGCGGCCAACAACCACCGCCGCCCATGGCTCCGTCGGCGAGGGTCGTTTCGGCTCCGCCGGGACTTCCGGTCCACAGCCCGAGTCCCAGCCTTAGCCCGGGTCTGGGGACTCCCAACGGACCGCCTCCGGGACCGCCTCCAGGACAGCCAGGTTTTACTCCGACCCCCCAGCCACAGGGACCTCCGATGCCTAATAGACCTCAAGGTCTGAAGCGAGGCAGGCCAGCAGCAGTTCCGCAGCCACCGCCGCCAGCGCATCCACTCTACTACCCGGGTGCGCATCCGCCGCAGGGAGCGCCTATGAATGCCCCGGCCCGCCCTCCTCCTCAGCCAATGCCACCACCGCCGCCTCCACATCAAGGGCCTAATCCGACGGCCAGCGCAAAACGGCCACCCGTGGAATTTCCCCCTCCTCACCTCCCAGTACCCAAGAGACGACGGCCCGATCCACCCGTCGACCCAACCAGACTCCCTCTCATACCCCCTTTCCTGGCCGTGGCACCAGCAATTTGCAAACCACGCGAGGATGTGTTCAAGGTTCCGCCACCGGACACCTTCTCCTTTAGCATGCATACCGTCGCACTCGACAGCCCCGGCCATGTCGCGCTCTGGAAAGACCAAGTCGAGTCCATGGCCCGCGCCTGCGGCTGCTACCGCGAGTTGACAACCCGCTTCGGCGTCTTTCCCAAGGTTACGACCGTCGAAGCGGCCGTCATCAAGTTCCGTTACCAAACCTGCTGGAGCATCCTCGCCGAGACCGTCTCCGGCCCGGTGTGGGCCTACATGCGCATACTCGGCTACAACCGCATCCCCGTCTTCAGGGACCTGGACGGCGTGCAGTGGCAGCCCTCGCCCGTCGACGCCTACTACTACGCAAAACAAGCTGGCTGTCGGCTGCACCTCCCCGGGAGCCCGCACCAGAACCGCGCCGAGGTCCCCCGCATGGTCGAAGAGGTCCGCACAGCCAAGCGCGAGAACTACCCGACCGAGGAGCACTTCAAGAAGGGCATCGAGTGGATGCGCAACGTTCTCGACAACATGATTCGCAACGGCGACAGGCAGGTCTGCGAGTCCATGTACGACGCCCATCCGCCCTTTGCGCCGCAGTGGCGAATGGATGTGCCCTATGAAGGGCCCTGGAGGCTCAAGGGCGAGCCTCTGTTGGCCATTCCCAAGCAGAATTTCAGGGCCCCGCCGCAGAAGAACATGAGGCTTGAGCGGGACAGACACGAGGCGGAGCTGGCGCAGGCCGAGGAAGATGCAAAGGTCGTCATGGAGGAGTATAAGCGGCAGTTTTATGTGGCATTACAACCCCCTCAAGGGCAAGGACTGCCGCCGCCCTCGACGCCCATACAGCAGCAGTCACAGCTGCCGTCACGAGCCGGAAGCGCTGTGCCATCGCGGGCCGGGAGTGTTGCGCATGCTCAACGTCAGAGAGAAGTCATACAGATCGATGACGAGGGAGATGAGGGCAGCGGAGACGGTGATGAGGACGACTTCCAAGATGCTGAAGAGGGGCATGACACGGACGAGGAGGAGGGCGACGAGGGCGTATCCGAAGAGGAATAAACTGCGGTGACACCGTTTCTTCTCTGGAATAACGAACATCGTCACTTCATGCATACACATTACCTCCCGCCTCTCTACGGCACCATACGATCTTCAAGAGATAGAGTGGGCAAACCACAGTTGGGCTCAAGCTTGCCATCTGTTCGAGTAGGTATCTTGTTTTACAATCAAGTATTACTAGCTAATACTGTACACTCTCAAGAACTCCAAACGACAACATTGTCCCACCAACAACCTCTAATCGCCCCCCAGCTAACACTATATATCATCAAGTACCCCAAACGACACCACCGCCCCATCATTTCTTCCCATTCTGCCCTGACCCTCCCCACCACCCTCCGCTGTCCCCTCCTGCTGTACCCTCACCACACAGCATCCCAGCCTACCACACCCCTCACTCACAGCCCCCATCCCATAACCAACCCCCCTTTCCCTCAACCTACACCTCACAACCTCCATGCACTCCTCCAAATACCCAATCCTGAACTCCTCCTTCGAATTCGGATTGAACTCCGCATCCTCCAAGTACTCCTGGATCGCATCCTTGGCCTGGAATCGACCCCAGTCCCCGTCCCGTGCCGATACGGTGATGGCAGTGCTTGGTTTAGCTTCGGAGGAGGCGAGCACGGCTGCTTGGGTTTGGGCCATTTGCATGAGGAGCAGGAGGAATTCGTAGAGCTCTTCTGGTGTTTGCGACTGAGAGTGGGCGTCGGGGGTGATGTCGGGGGGTGTTTTGGCTTGTGGTTGGTGTGAAATCGGTGCATGTGTGTCGTCGGATGTTGGGAAGGCGTTGGATAGCCAAGGGGTGTTCCCGTTGGACGCTGGAGCCGCCATGGCGGATCGAAAATTCTCGAGATGATACTGACGGCAAACAGAATACAGATGACAGAAAGCCCAACGCCCCTGCACTAACCGATTTACAACAAAGTTAGCCACCCCATCCCTTCGCAACCTTCTCGCTCCTGCCCCGTGTAAGTCAAAGTCACGCGCCTCGCCACCTGACCCACAAACCTTAATTCCCCCTAGGCGGCCGGGCCCCAGCGAACCCCGCATCGCATCCCCCCAAAAATTGACCTATTTCCCGCCAATTCCACGGCTGAAACCACAACGCTTTCAAATCCCATCGCCTTTTGCTGGGCAGTCGCATGGACCAAAAAGCTGATAGCCGACACTGTTTCTGATTGGCCAAAAGCATGCAAAAAGAGTGGACCGACCGGGGATTGAACCCGGGACCTTCGCATTGCATATGTAGCACCTTGCGGTGCTGCTATAAGAACGAGGTGATAAACCACTACACCACCGGACCAATTGAAAACGTTTGTCGTTTGGCTGGTCTATGTACTGCCTGCGCCCGCTCCCCACGATCGGGTGGGGGCGTGAGGGGTGCAGCCTTGTGCGCCACCACACGCATGCACGCGGTGGACGGGATGGGTGGGTTGTGGTTTGGGGTTTGGAGGCACAGATGGATTTGTTAAAGAGATGGTTGGAGGAATGGATTCGAATTTGTGATGGTGCGTAACGCTGTGTAAGTGAGATTGGAGTGACCCTTGGGTCACTCCAATCCCGGCACCTACTTACATCACTCAGACAAGGCTGGAAGCAACGAGAGCACACGAGGTTGATGCCACGAGTTAAACATCAGAGTCGTGCAATCAGAGATCAGCAGGTAGGTTCGCTGTCCCTGGACTTATTGAATCTCCCATCGCACTCGAGGTCTAGGACTCAACACTGACGGCTCTGGAAACCGATGCCTGCCTAATCTGCCATACAAACACCGACAAAAAGGGTTGATGCCACTGCATTATTCCAGCGGATCCAGCTCCCCCCCCCCTTACACCGTACGCCCTATGAAGCCAAGAATGGTGGGCTTGTATGCAGCCGAGACCAGCCATGTGTGAACAGCACTGAGGCCTTCCCTGGTGAACTCCATGCCTATATTGCTAGATGCGGAGCGCTTGATATCTTCATACAAAGCCGTTAGCAGAACACTCGAGGCGTGTTAAGATCTGTCGGAAAGTGTAGATTGGATGGAATTACACGGTAGACGACAGCACGCTGCAAGCTAGGTCTTTGGGTTCAACTTGCCGTGTTAGTTTGCACGAAATGCTCCTATTCGTGTGCCTATTGCCCCTATGGCGGTCCTGGCAAGGTCTAGCATCAAGTAGCAAGGCGACCTCTATTGACATGAGAGAGGCATTACTTGGCGAAATCCACCTAGGCCTCCGTCGTCGTGAAAAAAGGGGATATATTTCTTGCGAGAGGGCTCTACAAGACCCTTCAGGGCGTGTACAGTTCCTAGTTGACAGCAATCTTCATAGAATAATACAGCAGCCAAGGCATCTCTGCATGTATACCTATTTGCCATTGCGATTTTCCTTGTTGATATCTAGAGACTCAGGTCAGGCAATTTCAACGCCCACGAGACACAATTCCAAAGGCCTTTGGGACTCCTTGAGTGTCACGACCCTGGTCGGAGCCGCCCAAGGGGCACGGGCCACCGACAGACAACCAATCAAGCAAGGCCCGAGACGCGATGGCCCACAAGGATGTGAGGACCAATCAGGTTAGACCCGGGGGCCACCAGGGCCCGGGTCCAGCTCCGGTGAAGACGGACCCGATGAAGACCCACTCCGGGTCCTCAGGACCCGAAGAGATTCTCCCCCGGGACCAAAGAAATCCAGCAGTATAGATAGCTAGCTAGTTCTCCTTGAGTGAGGAATCGTTCTGGGTTCCTCACGCAAGTATTCGCTTTGTCAATTGATCCAACTTCAATTGTGCACTACTGCATTGTCACTCTATGTGTTACAGTGTATTATAGTTGCATGCGACCGTTGACTCAGTGAACTCCCCCCGTCTGTGAGGACTTGCTTCCGTGATTATCCCTCCTTGCCTTAACCTTTGGTCTGTGACCCCGAGCGTACCCGGGACTCCTGACCTAACCCCAACCCTGCGTCCCTGCCTATCTCTGTATAGGTACCGGTCGTAACATTGAGCCCTGGGTTTCTCTATAGGTGTCGGCATGGTAGTGGTTTATCACCTCGTTCTTATAGCAGCACCGCAAGGTGCTACATATGCAATCGCATTGCAGTTGAGGCCCGGGACCGGGAGCTTTCGACTAGGACCCAGTCTCTGGAAAGCGGCCAGTGTCTGGAAACCAGGAAATCTAGTGCCATCTGGAAACCGGAGAACCCAGTTTCTGGAAACTCGAAACCTTAGTCTCTGGAAACCGGAGAATCCATTCTCTGGAAATAGGATAATTCTCTGGAAATTTGGGAAGCATAGAATTTATCCATTAGCTCTCTAGAAAGACGACAACCACAAGTAGGTTGTGAAAACAATGCATAACAAGTACCCGGAAAGCCAAACATTGCTGCAACAATCTAGAGCACCATAGGTACTTAGCAAGAGGGGTCACAGGTATCTGACGCTACTGGATTTAGAACACGGTCTAAGCTGCATGATCTTCAAATCTCGGTTAATCCGGACGGCAGTTCCAAAGAGGCGATGGGTATATTTTCAAGGTCTGTACAGAATCAGAAACCAAAACTCTTGAAACCCACAAAAGAGTTTTACATTCTGGTTCGATGAAATACTGTTTCCTGAAGTGTCGAAATCGTCACAAAAGAGCTCAAAAAAAAACCTCAGTAAGGAGTAAAAAACTGGGGCCATATAGTTTCTCTCAGATTGTGTTCAAATCTTCGCTAAATGAAAACTCTTTGAAATCGATTCTAGATGAGCACTCCTGGATTTGCGCGGCCACTCATCTCACACATAGATTTAAACCGTGGCCAGAATGGTCTCCACCAGCTCCCTGATTCTCTCTCTGGTTCCCAAAAGCTCATTGCTCTGCCGATCTCCTAGACTTGGAAATGCTCCCTGGGTTATACCCCAGAGCCAGTGCTCCCACCATGTAGTAGCGGCAGATAGGCTGTGGTTAACCTCCATGTCCTCCAGGACATCATGATGGTCGGACATTGTTATGTCCTCTGGTTCCTGAGTCCAGTCCATATTGGTGTCGTCCGAGTGTTGACTAGACATTATGAGTCCCCGTGGCTCTAAAGGCTTTACTACCGGTAGTGCAAAGTTTCGGCGGAAAAGTGTAAGAGACTCAGATGTCTAGAGAGCGGCAGCCTTATTTCCTTTTCCGCAAGCACGTGCGCACGATGTCAGTATCAAGACTAAGTAATACATAACATGCAGTCCCAGGATTTGGAGAAGTCGGATTACTTACCCTGGACAGTTTCGTGATTCCGGAAAGATGGCTTACGAGGTTCTCTGATCTCTGTAGAATGGGGTTCTCTGATCTCTAGAGAATGAGATGCTCTGGCCTCTGGGAAATGTGTCTCACTGAACTCGGGGGGATGGAGTTCTCCGGCCTCTGGAGGCAATGTTGGACTTTTCGGAGTAATCTGGTATCCAGAGAGCTGAGACCAACTTCTCAACCCGGAAGACTGAAACTGGAGTAACCCAGAATGGATTGGAGATTCGAAAGTGTAAGCTTGGACCTGGATCATAAGGCAGGACTTGAAGTTCTGCTGATTGATGTCAGTCAGCTGTCGGATACGTGCTAAGTCAAGTGTGAGCTTGAAGACTTACAGGTGCTAGCACGGCCAGAAAAAGACGTCAAGCGGTCTGAATGTGAGAATAAAAAGGGAAGAAGAATCCAACCGGGTCCATACACTTGAAGGTTGACTTAAGTGCCTACCTTGATGGGCAAGCTGCTACTCTGGCTGACCTAATAAGGAAAGCACGCCTGAGCTCGCTGGGTCGGCCGAGGGTAGTTGCTTGATCAATGGACTTTAAGCTCCTTCCTCTGCACGCAGTGCTTATCCTTGGGCTCCTTCCTCTACACGCTCATCACCTCGCTTGAGCAGTGACATGGATATACACGATGACAGGTGTACTTACATACCTAAGTTGATGTCATTTTCCTTCTCAACTAAGGTACTGACCTACTTATAGTGTAGGAGACGACGTCAATCTATCAGGTTGGTATCACGCTCACCTTTTCCTCTCCGTTAATCAACTACCCACTGAGTGAGGAAAGGGGTTGTTTTCTGTCACAGGCATATATGTCTAATGTCAATGACCTAGCCTTGAGGAAGATGCCGATCTACATGTGACCAGACAGGGAGCCACATCTCTCGGCACTGAATCACAAGAAGATGAACCCAATCCCATCTGCTTTCCAGACTCGGAGAGTGGACAACTCTATCTCCCCGGTTTCTGCAAAGCGCACCTCTCGAAGTTTACACGGGTCGACCGAATCTGCTCTATAGGTAACATGATATAATTTACGGTTCCGGGGATGTAGGTACCTATGTGACGAACTGGACAGGTTTTAACTCCCAAGCTAGGTAACCCTATCTGCCCGACTTTGAGAGAGCAATCTCCCCAACTTTAAGAGGGCGACGCCCATGACTTTAGGAAAACGACTCTGACCTTCCTGAGTTTAAGAGAGCCATCTCCACGACTTTTAAAGAGCCAGCGGACGTTTTGCGGGGGTCTTGACCCTCCCGGGAACCACTGAAGCATTCTCTTGAATGTCAACAGATCTTTCAACCAGATTGGTTGAGATTCTAGCTGCCCCTTGCACTCAGTACCCAAGATCGGCAGACTTCTGGGTTCTTCCAACAATTCCTAGGAAACACTTGGGGCTTTGTTGCCATCCCCCTGTGGATGTTTACCGCAGGGCAGCTTAGGTATGAGTGACTGGCCGTCTGGGTGTCTTGATTCTGAAAGTTACGGAGCGTTGTGGAGCAAGGGCGTGAAGGCGTGAAGGTATGAGGGCCTGGGCTCCGTGGGCTCTGTGGGCTTTGAGTTGAATGCGAACCCGAGTGCGAGAGTTGAGAGTGTTGCAAGGGTCGTGGAGTGAGGGCGACAACCGCTAGCGTTGCGAAGGAGAAGATTTTCTATAGCCCAGAATTGATAAGAGGTACCTTCAAGTAAAGAAAGTTTGTGGAGCGCGGGCACAAAGCGATTGAATGCAAAGGCGAAGGTGAAAGGATTTCGTGGTGTTGAAAGGTCAAAGAGAGTTGTACTTGCCAGAGTTGCGAATAGCGTCAATCGCAGCCCTGGCTGGGCAGCCTTTACTTTATTAGCCAGATTGGGCACACTCATTAGAATGGCTGAGAAACCGCTGCCTTGCAACGGTTTAGGAACTGAAAGAACCCTCCTAAACACCCCCAAGTATGTTGCTTCTGGAGGCGGTTTGAAATGGCTGGTATCCATCTTCACCCAGCTAACGAGCCCTTGTCCCCTCTTCCTCCGCCACCGGCCTCAAATCAGGAAACGCCTCCAACCACA